GTTTTTTATAAGAGCTCGGTTGGGCTGAATGAAGGGGGCCAGCGCCTTTCAGCTACCCCCCTGACAAGTCCCACGGAGCCGTCACCGGGATGGGACATCTTCCCGTGGATGGAGAACATCCCGGAGCGTTTGGTACAGCGGCTGAGATGGACACAGGGCACATCGCCCAAAGTTCCATCCAGTGGGCCCATTATTGTCCTGCTCTATGCAGGCAAGGAAGACCCAACTTCCTTGGACAGCTGTCTTCATGCCAACTACCCACACCTTTCCAGCATGGTGGTGGCGGTAGACATCCTACGATCGGGACCAAAAGGGAACCACGACATGCTCCAACCCGAGCTATATGGAGCTCTGCACGGCAGCAAAGCAGGGCCGAGTGGTCTTCATTGGAGGAGGACCCAACTGCAGGACATGGTCCATCCTGCGCCACATACCAAAACCGGGGGCCCCCACCCCGGTGCGAGGGCGCACTCGAGAGACACTTTGGGGCCTCCCACACCTGGACCAGGCCGCCCAGACTCAGCTTGATGATGACAGTATATTCATTTTGAGGCAGATGTACATCACCAGCCTGGCAAGGGCCTCAAGAGCGGCGGTTTCTCTGCCAGGGCCAAAGTCCTTCTTGGAGCACCCGGAGGACCCAGTGGTGAGCAGCTCGCTGCCCAAAGCCAAGGAATGCTCATCCTTCTGGATCACGGAGGAGGGGCAGCTTTGGATGGAGGCAAACTCCTTGACAGCAATCTCCTTCGACCAGTGCCGCCTGGGCCAGCTGGTCAAGAAGGCCACTACGCTAGCCACGGATCTCCCAATTCAGGAGTGGGATCAAATGCGGTGCACGCATCAGCCTTGGGATATGATGGCAGGCCTGGCCAAAGCCATCGCTGTGTCACTCGCAGCGCCGGGGCACATCCGGATCCCCTCACAATTCCCGGGAAACCCTAAGGAACCACCTAAGGGGCGGGGGTCGGACCCCCCGGAGGGCCCGTCCCCCCGGGGAAAACGGGGACCCAATCAGGGAGGCGGTCCCTCCTCATCACACCAGGGCCCAAAGCCCGGAGGCAAGAATGCCCCGAAGCCCCGCCAGCACGGGCACATCCACCTTGAGGCAGACACCGTAAGCCCTCGTGGAACAATGAACCCAGACTTCCCATCTCCCATGCCCCCGATGGCCGGAGATGCGGAACAACTGGGGAAGGAAGAACATGGGGACCAGGTCCTGGACCGCCCCGAATGCCTGCCCGCTTTCAGGGTCCCACGCCTCATTGACCGAGTTGCGATTGTCCAATTGGGTTTCCGCTCACGCCCCCTGAGGGATGGGGGGGGGAAACCTTCCCCGGCGAGGCTCAACCCCCCCTTTCGGAGAATTTCCCCTTTGGCTACTTTGGGCGCCCTGATCATGACCCTTACCCGGCCCTGGATTGACAAGGTCCAAATGTCCCTGGCATCAGGTGCCACCACACACCCCTTCCAGGAAGCCGACCTCGAGGAGCTGCGGGCTATCCTAGGACCGAGGCACCTCCATGAACGATGCCCAGGACAACCCTTCCTCCTAGACTTAGTGTCGCACTTGGCATCCCTTTCAGGTGACCCTGATTGGGAGTTCCCCCTGACACTGAAAGAGGGGGTCCCCTTGGGAGTCTCGGACCCTACCTTGACCTCCCCGGGAGTTTGGCCCACTAAGGAGGAGCTTAAGGGAGAAGCCTGGCTGGGGGAAGATCCCCCCCGCCAGTGGCTCATGATAACTACCCAATGGCTGAACTCTTTGCCAAGGAAATCGAATCAACCTTTTACGAGGAACGAGCCTTGGACATGGTGGACGGGCCCTTCACTCGCTCCGAGGCGGCAGAGAGGTGCCGCTGCAAACCGGAGGAACTTTGCCCGGGCCCCCTTGCAGGGATTGATGAGTCAGACAAGATCAGGACGATCTACGATGGCTCGAAAGGGGGAGCAAACGCACACATCCAGGCTCATACGGGGGAGAAGACCACTGCACCGATGGTTGGAGACTGCCTCCACGCCATCCACTGGCTCAGGACAGCGACGGACCATCCCCAACTACTTCGAGCCACGCTCTCGAGCACTGAGGAGAGACCTCGGGATGTTCACCAGCCGGTGCAGGGGCAGTCCCCAGGTGCCGAGGGCCCTGAGAGGGACCCCCGCAGCACCAGCCTGGGCCGACAGGCCTGATCGGGGCAGGGGGATGATGGATACCTCCGGCGGCATGGACGTCTCTCTGGGGTCGACACCCCCAGGAAAGGGACCACTCCCAGGTGCCGAGGGCCCTGATAGGAGGGCCCCCTTCCCCCCAAACCCCCCGGACACGGAACGCCCTGGGGGCAGGGGGGAACCCCTGATGTGGCAGCCGCCGACACAGGGGGAAACCTTCATCATCCTCAAGGCGGATGTCACCAAGGCCCACAGGCGTATAAAAGTGCTCCCGAAAGACTGGAAATACCAGGTGGCCTGCATCCAAAACCGGTGGTGGGTCAACAGAGTGGGCACGTACGGCATGGCCTCGGCACAACTGTACTGGGGAAGAGAGGCATCCTTGGTGCTCAGACTCTTGTACTACATCTTCCCTCAGGTGGACTGGCACTTAGTCTTTGTGGACGACTACTGCTGGGTCCTCAGATGCAGCCGGGCGGACTGGGACGCCACAGCCATCCTGGCTACACTGCTGGCGCTGGGAGTCCCGCTTTCCTGGAAAAGACGGCGCTCTCCCCGATCAATACCTGGTTGGGCTTTGTGGTGGACCCAATCACGCCCTGTGTACTGTTGGCTCCAGTCAAACACGTCATAATCCTGGCCACTCTTAAACGGCTGGCCCAGGGGGACATCTTCACCAGCAAGGAGGTGGAACAAGCCCTAGGCCGTATTCAATGGGCTACTTCGGCATGCCCATTGACGAAACCTTTCCTCCAGCCCTTTTGGAGCTGGAAGAAGGCCTGCACCACTTCGGGCAGGCCACCGAAGCTGGTTCGTGCTCTGGCCATCCTTTTGGGGAGACTCTTCAACCAGAGGTTCCCACTGGCATCTCCGTTTGCTCCCACGCTCCCATGGACGGGGGCATCTGATGCGGGAGCTGGCAGACAGGCAGACCATGCATGGGTTGGTGGTTGGTGCTCGGACGTGCCCAACCCCGACAAGTCCCGTGTGAAGTGGTTCCAGCACAGAATCACACCGGAGGGCGAGCCGTGGGCCTTCACTACTGGGGACCCGCAGCGGGCGATAGCGGCCTTGGAGCTCTTCGGCCTCCTCCTTTTGGTGAGGGCCGTTCTGCTTTGTGCAGCCGGCTCGGCTTCTCACACTAGGATCCTGGTTGCTAGTGATAACCAGGGAAATGTTTCTCCCTTCTTAACGATTCCACTCGCAGGATGCCCAATGCGGCCATCCTCATGGAAATTGTGTTAACGCTGCATGACCAGCAGGTCATGTTGGGGCCGTCGCATGTGAAGCGCGACTTTAACACGTGGGCGGATGAACTTACTCATCCGGACCCGCAATTTCCGACTGAGAACCGGGTCTTCCCCTCAGTCGAAAGCGAATTGATCACACTGATCTTCGCTACTTTCCTTCCTCACCCATGATGCCGGGAGGGCATCCGGTGAGGTGGGAGGATTCCTCCCTCGCTGTGGGAGTGGCATCAATCCTACTCCCATCAGCTGCTGAGGGGAGCTGCCCAGTGGAGCTGGGCAATCCTCCCATTTTGGCACTAACCCTTATGAGGCAAAAAGGAGGCACCGTTTTGCGAATAAGGCCTCAGTAGCACCAGAGTGGTGCTTTGAAGAGTCAGGTGCCACTTCTGAGCTGGAGGTGCGAGAGCACGCTTCCCGTAAAAAGCTGCGATTTTTTTTCGCAGTGACGTGAGGCCAACGGGTCCTCTCGTGTGCTGCCGCACGGCTTGTGAGCTGGAGCTGAGGAAGAGCGTTTCGCGCGCAACTTTGAACTGACTTTGAAGCCGGAGCTGCGGAAGTCAAGTTCGTGTACTACTTTCGTACTGAATAGTTGCGACTTTGAAGCTGGACTGCGGAAGTTATTTTTTTGTACTACGTTCGTTTTGAAAAGCTGCGACTTTCCAGCTGGGGCTGCGCACGTGTACTTCGTGTATGACTCTTGTTATGAACGTTCTGAAAACAGCCGCGCGAAAGTTCCGCGATGGGGTCGGAATTTCAGACAACCGTCAAATGAACGTGGGAAACCTTGAGTGGCGCCTCCTGTGATTGGAGAAACTGAAGAGACAAGAAAGATACACGTTAGCTGACTCCTGCGCTGTCAAGAAGCTCTCTGTACAGGCCCACGCTTTGCTGCAACGGTTGTCACGCCTGGTATCTGATGATGTTCAAGTGTACTGGAAGCCCCTGGTAGGTGAATTGCAAGTGTACACACTTTGAGCAAGGTGAGCAAGGTCCTTTTCTATGGTGAGTACGAACTCAAAAGGTTTTGAGCGAAAAGGGCAAGGGTAGAAGTGGGGGGGGGTTCCAAATTGTTTAACCCGGAATTCATGAGGGAAGAGATCTAGCAGACTGTCTAGCCTTAAAGAGAACCTATATACGATTCCCTTTTAATTTGTTGAAAATAGTACGAAGAGAATAGGGTTCTCCGTTTATTCGAACTTGTCACGCGCACCCTTTCCCAGTGGGTTTGCGGGGTGTTGAAATTTGGTGGGCCCACAGAGTATCGCTTGTAGCCATCCCCGTTGTGCACATTTCTTGCATAATGGCATACAATGAAATGGAAGGGCGTTCAATATATTGAGGTTGCCAGCCAGCTGAGTCGCATAGTTTTGCCTTTTTAGTGCATGCGTTTTGTATCTGGTTGGAAGTGTCTGGAAATCATATATTCTACCTTTTTTTTAGAAACGGAAATCCCACATCTGGATGAATCACCGACCACCCAGCGCAACGTGCATTTTGCCCGTCAGTAAGTTGTATCCCACATGTTGATTTCAGTCCATGTGGTGTTCGGGACGGCCTTTAAACCACAACCAGCCAGCCGCGCAGGTGTCGGCGTCCGAGGCAAAAAGCGTCCTGGCGCCGTTCGGGTCAGACCAGAAGTGCAAGGCAGTGGGCGCCACTACGCACGAGGCGGCGGACACTGCAGCTGGGTGAGCTATAAGTCGATTTGTAACTTGTGCGGTTTGCCATTTGAGCGGCCCGCGGTTTCTATTTAGCTGCAAGCTAGTTTAGTGGGGAGAGGGACATCATTATTGAAAATGCGCGCCGCGCCACACGCACGGAAGAATGCGGAAGGCTCGCGGAAGGGATTTGTTCGCGGAAGGTGTGCGGAAGCTTTGTGGCTGATATACAACTAAATGCTTCAGTGCGTGCATGGTAAAGCTCGGAGAAACGCTTCCAGTAGTTGAAAAGGTGTTGCTGCGTACAAGAAACGCAACGCTTACTCGAAGAGCAGATGCCAACAGCAAGCCAAGAAGGCCAAAACCGCCGGCGTATTTCGCGGAAGGTTTGCGGAAGCTTCGCGGAAGGGTGGTCCTGCGTTTGCAGGCAAGTGCCCACGTAGCATGGGTAGCCCAATGGAGCCCAAGCCTACACAAGCTGCGGCGGAACACTACCTCACTTAAAATGACTTTCCTTTCTGCGCCAATGCTCGCGGAAGCAAATCTTGTAAACCATGCCCCGCGCAAGGTTTGCGGAAGCAAACAATGAAACACATGTGCCGCGGAAGTTCGCGAAAGGGACTCCTGGCCCGCGGCAAGGATGCGGAAGGGCCCGCGGAAGCTTAAGCAAGTTTGTAGGGAATAAAAACCAACGCTCATTTAGTGGTTGTTCGATCTTCCCCGACCCCACTGTCTCAGGTATTGACGGATGCGGTGGAGACTGTGAAGGCCATGGCGCTGGAAGTGTCCAAAAAGATGGAGGAGAAAGTTGGGCCACCCCTTGGAACATGGCACTGGGAGGGTCGTTGCGCGGGTACCCTTTTCAGGTTGAAAGGCCGAAAGTTGATCGCTCCAGTGCAGGAAGACACACCCAAAATTCCTTATGGTGGCTTAACAGGAGCCAAGGATCCAGAAACCCTTTTGCGGGCCACTGCCAGGCCTGCTAGCCCCTTTCTGAGAACCGTTTTTTTGCCAGGAAAGGTAGAACGCTCACAAGCAGCCCTTGAATGTGTTCAATTGGAGTCTGCTGCGGGGAGCAATTCTGCTCATGCAGGAGAGCGAGGCGATCGGCAAGTCCGACGCCGGTCGGGCCTCGATGAAGCACACGGTGGGCCTGTGGATGGACACTTGCAAAATGGCTTTCTGCCAGTTCGCGTTATTTTGCTTCCCGCAGTGCTTGGGCGGGACTCTTGTTGCAGTGTAACATTTACATACATAAATTTCCCTCTTTCCTGAGTCCAGTCGCTGTGGCCCTGGAATGGATTCTCTCTACTAGAAAGACGGGCCTTGAGCCACATATGTATGTATGTTATGAATGATTGCCAACAGGTCGATGGTCTCCGAAACACAGAACAAAACAGGCGCACATTTCCTTTGACCTTTGGAATTGAATTCTGTTCCAAAGGCTCTACGCTGTAGCCCTAGCCGTTGAGAAAAGTGTAGAGCGATTTTGATCATATCAGTCTCTTGTGTGACCCGGACATGTTGGATTTGTCTGGTATCCACATGGTTTGTACAAACAAACTGAATGCAACTGTATTCTAATTCGCGCACGAAAAGTTAACCTCTAGCTGTGTCAAACGATTTTGCATCTATGAGATGTGAAGATGCATTGGCTTGAAAAAGCGAGGACTGACGCGTCCTGGTGAAACTGACACTCACTTTACAAAAGATATTGCGGTAGGCGACGCAGCTGATGTCGCAATTGGAATGGTCTTGTAGACGATGAAGGAGAATGTCGATTGGTCGGCTATATCGTCGCGCCGCCGGTGTTTGCGAATTTGGTTGCTGGTCATTGCTTGAGAAACTTGCGATCTTCAGCGCCGCTGCTGGTGATGATAGTAGTTCTTGCTGTAGCTACTCTCAGATGAATATCCCTCTTGCTGTGAAACGCCATTCCTTCTTTCTCTGATGGTTGATTTTTTGCGCTCAAACTTGCCCTGCCACCTTGTTGCATACCCGTGGGCATTTTACCTTAGGAGAAGAAAAAGGCTTTCGTAGGAATCTTAGGGATTCATGGCATTTCACCCACAGTGGTGAGCGGAGCTGGTTGGGACCCAGGGACTACATCGACTTCACGATGCACAGCGGTGTGTGCGGTCAGCCACCAGGCTCAAGTGGGCGGCGCTCAAGGTGGTGGCGCGTGCGGTCGGCCGCAAGGCTGGTCGCCAGGGCCTCACGGAGCGGGGCAGGGCGCGTGTGGGCAGCCTGGAGGCGGGTCGCCGGGGCCTCACCAAGTGCGCGGCGCTCTGGCGCGTGCGGCAGGGCCTCACGGAGCGGGGCAGGGCGCGTGTAGACCTGGGCTGTTGGGAACCAACCCACAGCAAGGTCAAGCTCTACCTTTTCGAGGCGCTGGACCGCGGTCACGACTCCGCAGTTGAAAGCGGGGGAAGCCGCTCCGGTGAGCCTTTTGCAATGGCGGAGCCGGAGGCTGAGAAGGAAGGCGGCATCCACGACCTTGCGCGAGGCCATTGCCACTTCGACGGCGCTGGCCAGCTTGGAGAAGATTCAAGCCTACATGGAGTCCATTCGCTACGCAGGCTTCTCTCCCAAGAAGTACCAGCGGGTGGAGGACGATACCGAGCTGCGGGGCCAGTCCACGGTCATCGCGGCAGACTCACAAAGGTACCCAGATCCAGAGTGCATCCTGGTGTTGGACGCTCTGAGACGTGCAGCGGGGATTGCGAGAGATAGCAGTTGGAGTACGCGGTCATCCGCAAGAGCATGGTTCTTCTGGGCGCACGCCCGACATAAATTCCGCACAACAAGAACCCGAGCGACCTGCTCACGAAGTGGCGAGGAGCTCACGCAGAACCGATGATGGAGATGCTGAGAACAGACGCAAAAGCACTGCCAGCAAAGCGGCAACAAGGTGCTTAACTTTTGGGGGGCTGTGAGATTGAAACACGCCTGCCATACCCGTGGGCATTTTACCTTAGGACCCTTGAGCCTTAACTGGGCAGAAGAAAAAGGCCTGTCGCCTTTCGTAGGAATCTTAGGGATTCATGGCAATTCACCCACAATGTAAACCAGGAGGGGGGCACGCAAATCGCTATCGTTGCCTGTGTGATGTGTCTGAAACGTTTTGTAGAGGAAACCTGATAGTCGCTAATGACCATGCTTGCGTCGTCTTCGCAGTCAGGAAAGGTGCTGTCGTGCTTGATTCTTTCGCAGGATATGGAAACCAATTGTTGCAAATGGCAGACCTGCTCATGCTCGGGGAGTCGTTTTTGCTGATCTATGGCGACGGTGATGATCTCATTGTTCAACAGACCTGCGCACGCGAGGCAGTCTGATGTCGGCATGCCGGCTTGAGGCGCTCATGGTCCTCATTGTCTTCTGATGCCCCAAAAATGATGTCGGACTCATGCCCTTGGAGCCTGCGTTGATGAACGCGACCAATGGTTTTCGCTTTGTTGTTGGCACCCTTGCGAAGAACGCTTCCCCCTCTGCAATTGCCGCTTTCTGTCAAGCCTTGCCCAAATCTTCCGGTAGAGGTCATGGGCAGGCGCAACGCCCGGGTCTGAATCTGAATTGTTCTCCTGTCTTCATTCATTCATTCATTCATTCATTCATTCATTCATTCATTCGTTCGTTCATTCATTCACTCACTCATTCATTCATTCATTCATTCATTCATTCATTCATTCATTCATTCATTCATTCATTCATTCATTCATTCATTCATTCATTCATTCATTCATTCATTCATATATAATATATACATACATGAATTTACACACGTATCAAACGGGGAGGGTGTGTTGCGAGGAAGCCGGCGATCTCTTGAATGTCCTGGAGACGTTGCCGCAGCGACTGGGGGACCAGGCCAGGTTTGGTGTTTAAACATGTTCGACTCTTCGACCTGCTTAGATTCCAGTTGCGCAAGCAGCGTTGATCAATGACGAGTTAGTCCTTTTCAGTGAGCTGTTTTCCAAATAGAAGCCCCTTTCTCAGTGCCCGGCAGTGGCTTAACGCGTAGTTTCTCATAGCGGTTGAAGCCCTGTTAGCGAGAGCTTGAACCCGGCAAGTTCCAGGCGGGGAAGTTCACGGCTGCGGCGCGCCGGGCGGGGCAGGTGGACATGAGGCACTGGCGCCGCGCCCCACAGGTGCTGACGGTGTCGGAGTACGAGGCGGAGTTTCTGGCACAGAAGAAATTTGGGTATGTGTCACAGTTCAAACTGACAAATGGCGGTTTTCCTGCAAACCAACCAGGCGTATTCAACAACAAACACACGCTCACAACCACGGATGTTCGCGCGTACGCAAACGAATGCAAAAGCAGGCATGCGCGCGCGGACACCACACGCACACGCGCACGCACGCATGAGCAGGTATAACCCAACGCAATGCAACACAACGCAACACAAAACACCACACACCCACAGACACCCGCCCACCCACCCATCCACCCACCCACCCACCCACCCACCCACCCATCCACCCACCCACCCACGGTACCCACCCACCCACCACCCCACCCCGTTCCGCCCCGCCCCGGCCCCACCCCGCCGCCCCACACATGTGCTCATGCGCCAACGAACGAAAGCACGCGCACACAAACAACACTCGCACACACACAAACACAAACACACACAATCACTCACTCACCCACCCACTCACTCGCTCGCTCGCTCGCTCACACACACACACCACACACCACACACCACACACCACACACCACACACCACACACACACACCACACACACCACACACACACACTACACACACACACACGAGCAGACGCAACGCGGCACAACACAACACAACAAAACGCAAAACCACACACACACAAACGCACGCACACACACAAGCACGCGCGCACGAACAGACGCGCACGTACCTGCGCGTGCGCCCTGACGCCGCCAAAAACACAGACACACAGACACACAACAGACACACAGACACACAGACACACAGACACACACCCACGCACACACGCACACACACACATACATGCAGTGTCACACAAGCAAGCACGCACTCACGCACCCACCCACATGCGCAGACACAATGCATGATGAGTCGGAGTTCGATCGGCCACTCGGCGCTACATGAAGAAACCACGTGTGATGCTATACTGTAACGCCTCCGGCTCAGGCCGCCGACGTTACAGGCCTGCTTTCTTAAAACATGTCCCACTGGAATTGTGCCATTGAAAGTTGTTTCTGGGGTATTTTCCTTTCGAATTTTCCAAGCCACGGAGGTGTTAAGACTTTGAGGCATTCAGATTTTAACACGTTAAGCCAGTAAGGCTTTGAGATTTTAATCCTTCTGATGTTTGAAGCTGTTAAGATTTCAATGTTGTGTAGGCCATTAATATTTTCTCACCGTGAGCCATGAGGATATTAACACGTTAAGCCACTCATATTTTCAAAGTGTAAGCCATTCAGATTTTCAGAGTTTGATCCAGTAGGGTTTTCAAGTTTTCGGCCATGAATAGATTTGTTTAAGCCATGATGATTCTATTGTTAGAAGCCCTTAAGGCTCAGATGTTAGGAGTTTATGCCATGACGATTTTAACATGTTAAGCCACTAAGATTCTAAGGTGTGAAGCCAGTAAGGTTTCAAGATTGTAAGCCATTACTGTTTTAAAGACTTGAAGCCAAAAGATGTTAACACGTTAAGCCGCGCATGTTTTTAGACTGTGAGCCACACAGATGTTCAGAGTGTAGCCCGTGCAGGTTTTCAGGTTTTCGGCCATTAAGACTTTAAGGTTTTAAGCCATTCTGATGTTATCACGCTAAGTTCAGCATTCCAGTTTTTTGACCCAAGAAGATGTTAAGCCGTATTTAAAGCCCTTTAAGGTTTAAGCCATCAATATGTTGAAGCTTTAAGCCGTTAAGGTTTTAACACGTTGAGCCACTAAGGCTTCAAGATTTTACCCCATTAAGAGTTTAAGGTGTGAAGCCGTTAGGGTGTTAATAGTTTAAGCCATTAAGGTGTTCAGACTTTAAGTTAAAAGTTTAAGGTGTTCCTTTTCATTTTTTCGCAGAGTTTGACTCATTGAGCTTTTCATGTGTTCAGCCCTCATTTGTTTTGAATCTCTTCAGCCATCAATATTTTTGACACGTTAGGCCACCAAGGGTTTGATATGTTCGGACTTTAAGTAAGAAGTGTTTTTTGACACCTTGTGCCACTAAGGTTTTCAGATTTTAAGCCCTCAAGCTGTTTCAGAAGCCAGTCGAACTTTCCAGAGTTTAATCCATTTAGGTTTTCATGTGTTCAGCCGATTCATTTTTGAAGGCTTTTAGCCAGCCATTAGGATTTTGACACGTTAAGCCACTAAGGTTTAAAGATGTTCAGACTTTTAGCTACTGAGATGTTGATACGTTTTGCTACTAGGATTATCATATTTTAAGCCCTTAACTCTTTCAGGTTTTAGGCCAGTGAGAGTTTTTGTTTTTTATTTGATCTTCAGGCCCTCCCTCCAAGCCCCCCCCCCCCCCCTCCAGAAATACTCGTGCGTTAGACGAATTCATTCCCCCCCTCCCCGCAAAAAAATAGTCAAAACGGCACTTCTAACATCAAACCCAAATAGTCAAACATCATAAACACAAATCAGCAAAATTCACAGAAAACAAGATGAGAACCACCAAGCAACTCAAAAACCAGAACAACCCCCAACAAAATATTTAATCAAAGCATACAACATTAATTAATTCCAACAAGCATACCAACAAAACAGCAAAACTAAAAACCATCAAAGAGCACAAACTCAAAAACACACACTAACAAATTTCAAAGCAGTACAACAACAAAAACATATCAGAAGAGTATCAAACAAAATAAATACACAACAGTCAAAGCACGGAAAAATCAAAAGAGCATTCCAAGTTCAAACAACGCACTTTGAAAGAGACAAAGCAAATTAAGACAATTAAAATATTTCAATCTTTACAAACCATAAGTATAGTATAAATACAAGATTTTACATGTTATAATTATATCACAATTAAGAATTAAGGGTTAAAACAATTATCAGGTAATAAATCTTCAAATATGTAATCTTTATCTGCTGATTGTCTCCCTGAAAGAGCACAAACCTTGCATTTGGAGCTGTCCAAAAAGGGACAAACACCATACACCAAAAGCGGTGTACGCATACACCAAAAGCGGCGTACGCATACACCAAAAGCGGTGTACGCATACACGCATACACCAAAAGCGGTGTACGCACACACCAAAAGCGGTGCACGCATACACCAAAAGCGGTGTACGCATACACCAAAAGCGGTGTATGTTAAAAAGGGGCTTTTTCCGGCAGTGGGCAGCCTCAAATTATTTAAGCAACCAAACTCACCAAAATTTCATTGATTAAACTACTAGGTATTTTATATAGGTCTTCCTGTTTCTGTATTATTGGTTGATCTCCCCATTTTTCCTTGTTTCCATTTGGCAGTCTCTGCGCAGTTTCAATATGTTTATTATTCCTGATGTTGCCACAATCCTTTTTACATAAATCTCTAGGTTTCCAAGTTGTAATGTTATTCCAAAGCCTAGTTCTCTTTCTGTAAGGCATTCCATATTTACAAAATCTACATCTTTAAATCAAACTCATTCATAAACTCCTGATTTTCCAATAATCCGGTTTGTGGATTTTCGATTACAAAATATTCAGGATTGAAATATTTGATAATTTCAATAGTTTTTAAAACTATACTATTTGCATATTCGATATTCCTAATTCCCGTAGTTTTTGCTTTGCTGTATTCCGTACATGGAGGACTTGCCCACACAAAATCAAAATGGTTCCTATCAAATTGTTTGTAGTTCCATTTCAAAATATCAGTATTTGTATCAGCATTTTTCAAATCCAATGAAATAACATTGAAACCCATTGCTTTTGCAACTGTTCCAGCACTGCCTGTCCCGCTAAACATCTCCAATAAGTTCATTATTAAACATATTTAGATAATATTCTCTATGAATAAATCCCTGTATCTTCAGCATAGTCAATTTGATAAAATGTCATAGTGGAGGACTTCGGTTCTTTAATTTCTTTGTTATCAAGTTTGTTTAACTAAATATTTCTTTTATTTTATACTCACCACTGGTTCTATCTACTTCTTTACTTTGATAACTGTTTGTTAACGGTTTCTTCTTTTCCATTTCTTGTAAGATTTCTAAAATATTCTTATTCTGTTCTAAAACCTTGTTCAGTCCTTTAACAATCTTATCTAATCCTTCATCCATGTAAATTTATACTATATTATAAAACTAAACTTTTAAAACTAAATGTTGCAATTATGTTAAATCTACTCTTCAAATACTAATTCTTCACCATTTCACGTATAGTTTCCGGAGTTTCGTTATCACCATTATCGGATGGAGTAACTCCCCTCCCAAAGCGAATAGCAATATTATGAACATCTGTTTCTAAGTTTATACTGTCTTTAGTTATATCAATATTCATTTTCTTATCATTTTTACTTATTTAGAAACTTGTTGGAATACACGAGCATTTACAATTTCCTTTCTTTTGTATTTCTAATTCATTCTTCATTTCTAACATCTTTTTACACATTGGACAAGCAAATTCAATAACTGATGTTTCTTTAACAATTTCTTCTTTTTCTTCATCAGTTGAAGAAACAACGGGTTCTGTCTTATTCTTTTTCTTTCTTCCCATTTATATTAACATTTACATTTTTATGTTTGATATGTTGTATCACAAACTTAATTAATTCTAATGAATAATAACAGCATTTTTTAGTTTTATCATCAGTTATAACAACTTGTTCTATATTCTCTACTTCATCTATCATCTCAATATAATCTGAATAACTTCTATCCATATTAAATATTCAGATGAAATAATTATGGAAATTAATTATTTGAACTTATTATTTCATGCATGGTAGAATATTCGGAGGGCACAACAATGGAGTTTTCTTTGCACTGGAAAACACAAGCGAGGTTCAAACCAATTCAAACTAATTAGTCTCAATGCTTATGATTGAAACAATGGAAAACCTGTTCCATTTTTTCATTTATTTGCCGTCATCATATCATGAAAAACAATGTTCCATTTAATATTAATTTGAATATTTATTTACACTATTTTTTATTAAGTTTCATTGCGGTTGATACACTAATGTCTCTAATGTTATTATTAATAACTTCTTCAACAA